TTAATAATATAATTTTCATAAAGATAATAATTAAGTATTTTATTATAATTAATGATTATCCTAATTATATTTTAGATTTTTTATAGTTAAAATGAAATGTTTATCCCGTATTTGATTATTTTTATCTATAGTCAGTTATACAAATTCAAAAATAAAGCTTTAATAAGTTGTGCTTACGCATAATTTACTTGTCATCTTCAATTTTAAGTTATATGCATCAATAAACAATACTTTATGCATGAAAAATGAGTTTTAAAAGTTTTTGTTAAATATTATAAAATATAGTATTCATAATGCTAAAGAAATATACCCTATATATATGTATATATATATATATATATTATTTTTTTTGCTGTGCATTTATCTTTACATTTAAATGTAGGCTTTTTAATATATTCATCTATGATTTACATAATAAGAAATTTTATCAAAATATAACGTATTTTTATTATTATTTATATTTGAAGGAAAATAAATACAACTATACCTGTTTTTGATACTAATGGTATGCAATCAATAACTATAGGATAAATTAATATAACTGACTAGTTTGTTGACGATAACTTTAGAAATCTAACAAATACATATAGATTCACATTAAGCGATTTTGTTAACGACGAGCTTCTAAACGGATGTAATTGTACATTACTCCTTGAAAACGACTCCCGTTGTTTGCTTGCGTTAAGTAGATGCAATTCACTCCATTAGTATACAGATTGGTGCCTGGTATTTCGATATTGAATAGCCAATACAAACCGTGTATTCCATGCCTTGCAATTGCATTGCCTCTCCCAATTATCCCCGTTGAAAATAAAGGTAGCTTGTGTAAATCATTAATACGAACCTGAAAAAATTAAAACGTCAATTAACATAGAATTTTGGGATTATATGTACGCAATTAAGTGTACATATTTAAGTTCATGATTATATATATATATATATATATATATAAACACACACCTGTATATTAGCCTCATGTGCAGAAGCAAGTGCCAATCTAAGGACATATGTCTCACTTTTGTTGAAATTATAATGGCTAAACCTGATCGTCCATGTTGTCTTCACGTAAACACCTGTACTCATTCTCCTATATATGAAAATTTCAAAAATAGTCTTAAAATTAATCTAAATTTGTCACCATAAAAAATAGTCTTAAAACTAGTCCTATAATCTCTTGTTACTCTTCTCATCACAACTCTTAGGAACCTAACCCTATATATATATATATATATATATAATTAGTTTGTGTTAATCGTGAAATTCAATATTAACCAATCATTTAAGATTATAATTATCTTATTTTAAATAATCATAAAGGATGATTTAGTAAAAAAAAGAAGTTTGACAACTCATCAAATGATTACTACTCCCACATTTCTCTCATATGTCTCCCACCTTTCTCTCATAATCACTATTTTCTTGGTGATGGGAGCAGCGTTTCCAGCAACAGTGGGGAGCCGCTACAAACTCCGTTGCATCCACCAATTCCAACCGTTCCATAGTTGCCAACGGGAAAAACAACTCAGAACTTTGGTTTCTTCCGATCGGTTCAGTAGCAGTGAGGAGGAAGACGGTGACGCTGATTGGAAAGCCACCATAAACACGATTGCATCCACCACTCCTTCCAGCCCTTCCGCAGTTGTCATCGGGAAAAACAACCCAGATCGGTGGCTTCTTCTAATCGGGAAAAGCTCCCAGGACAGTTTTGGTTTCTGGTTTCTGCACACCCAGATCGGTTCGATTTCTAGTTTCTACACGGATCGAAGCCGTAACCAAGATCTCTTCGGATATGTAACACAGATATCACTGGAGATGTAACCCAGATCTTGTCAAAGATGTAACAATATTGATCGGAGCTGTAACATAATGGTATCACAGTGCATCTTGTATGTATTTGGGTATCACACCAAAGGTCGTTTGTATGTATCTTTTTTAACAATGTCGATATTTTTAGGTATCACATTGTATATCTTGCACTTGCTTTGTATTCATCAAAACAAGGTTCACTTGGGGTGAGAGGGAGAGAGGAGAGAAAAGGGAGTTTTAAAATACCTAAAATGCCCGTTAATTAAAATTTTAATTCAAAATTACCAAAATTATTAATTTTATAATTTATCCATTGATTTATGGTTGAGATTTGATCTTACAATTATCATAAACTAAAAAGTTCTCACTTGAATGATCCTCTATATATATATATCTATACTATATTATAATGCATTTGGCCAAAACTCTTAAAAACTCTTAAACTCTTAAAAACTCTTAAACTCTTAAAACTCTTAAAACTCTTAAAACTCTTAAACCCGTTCATCCCTATCCAATTTCATCCCATAACTGAATTCGTGTAACTAACTGCAGATAAACACAATCAAATACAGAATAAACATCTTATTT